ATGGTGTTAGCATGAAACTGCAAAACATTACGCCTGGTGTCTCTGCCATTTTTCAAGATCATATATGCATTTCGTTGATGGTCTAGTAAACGCAATAATGGAATCACGCTTTGCTCACCCTTTCTCTTGACCACACTTTAATGGTACATGTATATAAATCGCAGAAAAATCCCTATTAAAATTTGCAAATGGTGAGATGCAATCTTTAACTCATATCGAAATAAAGAAAATATTATCTCTTCATCAAGAGAATTTAAATGGGTGATTTTTTTTTACTGCTGGTACGAATCATTATGATATATAGATATTTTAACAGGTAGTAGAAACCTTTAAGACAGAAATTTTAATTTTTCTTTTAAAAGGCGAAATTTAATGGAAGTGTATAAAAGGCTCGGCGTTAAAATTATAATTTAGATATATTTTAAAAGCCAACAAGATAGGACAAGGGGCAATAAAATGGTAAGTTTCTGCGTAGATTTGTTTGGCTCAAACTTTATATAACTCAGTAATTATCAATTTTTCGAAACAGAACCTAAGAAAAAAAATGGACATTTACAATTTATTGTCTGCTTAATTAGTGATTTTCTTCTGTTTCTTATTATTCTTCTTCCCTATTATTCTTTTTTTCTTCCGCTGATTTTTTGTTTCGACATTTATCGAAAAGACTTTTTGTTCATCGTAAAGGTCATTAAAAGTTATGAACAAATTTGACCCAACGCGTATGAACTATGACCCCTTTCAAAGTTTTTGCCCCTTTCGCAAGAAATGCTTGTTATTGCTACTCCTCCGAAACCGTAAACTATAGAGGTATGAAACCTTCACTAATGTCTCCGACTAATTGAGAAGACTCTGGAATCTATTCATTGCGAAAGTATTCGGTGACCCCTTCAATGAGTTATAGCCCCTGAAAGTGTTTGAATTTTACAAATAATTAAATATTTTCAAAATGAGAAGTCGTAGAGACATGGGACTAACATCGTCGGAAACCCACGGGTGATCTCGTCTCTACTCATCACCCGTAGGCAAACTCGCCGAAATATTGCCGTAAAATATGCTAATTTGTTGTTTTTAGTCAACCAATCAGAAAGTTGGAACTCTTCAATTTTGAAAAATACGTTAATTACTTTGCTATTTATGGTAAATATTTTGACGCTCGTTAAAACGTGCGAAGTTTGATTTAAAACAATGAAAGTCAATTCGTACAGGTCACAGACATTAATATCCGCCATATATTATGAAGGAGTACCTCTTTAACTGCAAAATACACCGGTGAGTGGATTTATCAGTTGTGTTAACTTCGGAATGAGTTTTTCATGTTTTTGGCAATGCCGAACATGCATACGTAACGTGAACTGTGATTCGTTGTTTCGCATCGCGACTCTGTGAAGCGGCCAATCAAATGACCCATGCATATTTAATTACGTGTACATACGACGATTTTTCGGCGTGTTTGCCCACGGGTGATAAGTAAAGACGAGATCACCCGTGGGTTTCCGACGATGTGGGACCAACTGCATAAGATTCATTGACCTTGGACCTTAAAATTCATATAAAGGTCAAAGGTCAAGGTCAGCCCAAAAATGAGAAATTAAGCTCTTTTTATATCTCTCTTGTCTTTTAACATATACAATCTGTCTTTGCATCATTAATATGTACTCTTAAAACTACTTCAAAGATTTCATTCTTGTCCCTTAAGATTGACTCTAATAAAAGTTATCGCCTCTTAAGCTTGTGCGAAAATCCTTCTAATTGTTACTGCTCTGAAACCATAAACCACAGAGACATGAACCCTTCACTAATGTCTTAAGGGACTTTAGGCACAACTTTTATGTTCAAGTGTGAAAGGACCTGGTGATTCCTTGAATGAGTTACTGCCCTTTAATGTTTTTGTGCTTACCATTAAACCTTATAACTTTGAAACTATAAGTCATAGAGGCATGAGACTAATTACAATGTGACCCTTGACCTTTGTCCTTGAATATTACTTGAAGGTCAAAAGTCAAGGTCACCTTCAAATTTTTGAATTTTTAGCTCACCTGAGCCGAAGGCTCAAGTGAGCTTTTCTGATCAAAATTTGTCCGTCGTCTGTCGTTGTCGTTGTTGGCGTTGTGGTAAACTTTTCACATTTTCATCTTCTTCTCAAGAACCACTGGGCCAATTTCAACCAAACTTGGCACAAAGTATCCTTGGATGAAGGGGATTCAAGATTGTTCAAATGAAGGGCCACAACCTCTTCCAAGGGGAGATAATTATGAATTAGTGAAAAAATAATAGCATTTTAAAAAAATCTTCTTCTCAAGAACCACTGGGCCAGGAAAGATGAAACTCATGTGGAATCATCCTCAGGTAGTGTAGATTCAAATTTTTTCAAATCATGACCCTCGGGGCTAGGGTGGGGCCAAAATGGCTGACCAAAGTTTTACATAGGAATAAATAGGAAAAATCTTTAAAAATCTTCTTCTTAAGAACCACTGGGCCAGGAAAAATGAAACTCATCTGGAATCATCCTCAGGTAGTGTAGATTCAAGTTTTTTTAAATCATGACCCCCGGGGCTAGGGTGGGGTCAAAATGGCCGACCAAAGTTTTACATAGGAATATATAGGAAAAATCTTTAAAAATCTTCTTCATAAGAACCACTGAGCCAGGAAAGATGAAACTCATCTGGAATCATCCTCGGGTAGTGTAGATTCAAGTTTGTTCAAATCATAACCCCCGGGGCTAGGGTGGGGCCAAAATGGCCGACCAAAGTTTTACATAGGAATATATAGGAAAAATTTTAAAAATCTTCTTTTTAAGAACCACTGGGCCAGGAAAGATGAAACTCATCTAGAATCATCCTCAGGTAGTGTAGATTCAAGTTTGTTTAAATCATGACCCCCCGGGCTAGGGTGGGGCCAAAATGGCCGACCAAAGTTACATAGAAATGCATAGAACAAATCTTTTAAAATCTTCTTTTTCTTCTTAAGAACCACTGGGCCAGGAAAGATGAAACTCATGTGGAATCATCCTCAGGTAGTGTGGATTCAAGTTTGTTCAAATCATGACCCCCAGGGCTAGGGTGGGGCCAAAATGGCCAACCAAAGTTTTACATAGGAATATATAGGAAATATCTTTAAAAAATCTTCCTTTTAAGAATCATTGAGAAAGGAAATATGAAACTTAAATGAAATTATCCTCAGGTAGTGTAGATTCAAGTTTGTTCAAATCATGACCCCTGGGGCTAGGGTGGGGCCAAAATGGCTGACCAAAGTTTTACATAGGAATATATAGAAAAAATCTTTAAAAATCTTCTTTTCAAGAACCACTATGCCAGGAAAGATGAAACTCATGTGGAATCATCCTCAGGTATTGTAAATTCAAGTGTGTTTCAATCATGACCCCCGGGGCTAGGATGGGGCCAAAATGGATGACTAAAGTCTTACATAGGAATATATAGGAAAAACTTTAAAAATCTTCTTCTCAAGAACCTTTGGGCCAGGAAAGACGAAACTTATGTGGAATCATCCTCAGTTAGTGAAGATTCTACATTGTTCAAATCATGACACCCAGGAGGATTAAAATTCAAGCCCCCCCCCCCCCCCCCAGTAAACTTTCAGTTTTGATCTGATATGTGCTTTTTCCTAGTAGATGTGCTCAGGTGAGCGATGTGGCCCTTGGGCCTCTTGTTCCTTTTTTTTTCTTTTAAGCTATTCCTGGTTTCTTTTTGATTAAATATAATTTTAAAGAGATAAATATAAAATGAAATTGAAATTCAAAGAAGGTGGAAAGATCTCTTATTGTTCTGTGAACAATAAGTCTCCTAGTTGTTCAATTGATACTCTTTTTAGAATAGAACTTGACTTGAGGATAATCGGGGAACAAACGTCAATGTTTAGAAATAGAGTTTCGAATATATTATATACAATTTAAATTGGATTAAACTTTAAATGGCTTTAATCACAGAAATTTAATAAATTTGCTAGATGTCAAAATTTCTTAATATTATGCTTACTTCTTCTGAAAAACACCACAATGGTTTAATCTAATTTAAAAAAATGTCCGAATTACCTAAATAACGGTAACAATCATTGTATGTTTATCATCAACATTAAAAAAAATTCTATTGTTACTTTAAAAAATATTATGAAGTTATCCCTGGGATCATGATTTCTTTCACTCTTTCCATCAATCCATCCAATCTTTTGAGAGGAGAAAATAAACTATAAACTACACTAACCATACAAACATTATTTATCTATCTTTTTTTATTTAAACAATACGTTATTGATATGTTTTTAAATGACGACCTTTACCGGATCAGGGACCAGAGCCCAGTAATTTAAGATTAACAATGTTAAAGAATAACAATCCATTACATTAAATACATGCTAATTGTTGTTGTTGTTGTTGTTTTTCGACATCAAAGAAATATATTATGCATAGTTATGAATATTATTACTTTATTTCTATATTTTAGCTGTAACTTGTTATTTGATTGGATACAAAAAAGTTATGTGAAACCTAATCGCTGTTGTCATCGTCACAGTGACTTTTTGTAGTTCAAAACGTATCAGTAGGCTTGACGTTAAAATTAAAATATGTACAATTTAAATGCATTTTTGAAAGGGAAGTTGTCTTTTCTTGTACACTTAATGATTTAAAATAAAATTATGATGACTAGATTTTAATTAATAGGTACCAAATTTATGTTAGCAAAACATGGTTTGGAGCAGTTTACCTTTGGCTTTGTTAAAAAACAACTTCGCGTTAACTGTCATAACCCAAGCAGTACACTGTACCTTGGATAGCTATTATATAATTCCTTTAATAATTAAAAATTCTTTAAAAATATCATCATATTTATTTCTTGTACTATGAATTTTAAAATTAGCATAAATTGGTAGCACGAAACACGCTAGCAGCAATTTAAAAGTCTAATGATGCAAATTGTGATTTCTATGGAACTTAAAATGATACCTAAAAATTGAGATAAAATACACGTATCTTAATTCAATTTTAGAGTTCTGGCACCAGCATCAGTCGGACTATCAAACATAATGCCCACCATGATAAATCTGAAGATGAATCAGGGAATGGGGTAAATAAAAATACTTTAATTAGGCCAAAATAAAATTATAGTTTGTTGGAATTGCCTCCCGCCTCATTGAAATGCCCCCTCCTGAAAAAATTTTATTAACCAAAAGTAGGAAGATTTTTTTTTATTCAGTCAATTTTTTTTGCCCATAACATGTATCACAAAACACTGAAATATAGTGTCAGTTATATGTAAAATTAGGTTTGGTTTGTTGATGGTAGATACTTTTTTTTAAAAGTCAGAAAATGTATTTACTGTTTACTGAGATTTTTATCAAAAAGTTAAAATTTATCTTCAATTCAAAAAAAAAAAAAAAAAAATTCCCTCCCTCCCTCCTGTGTCTGAAACCCTTCAGGCGGCAATTCCAAACAAACAATATTTTAAGGATTGCCTTAGAACATATATCTGTAAAATCCTTATTTTTATTTTAGATTTTTTGTGGTCTGAGAAGAATGTTGTTTGTTTGTTGAAATTTTATTTTGAGGGACGAATATTTCATGGAGAACTTGTTCCTACCAACATCAAGAAAATATAAAAATAATAAACTGTTAAGAAATGGGTCCTTTCACAGTAATATGCAACATCTTATTCATAGACATGTTCGTTTAGAAAAGCGTTTTTCCTATACTGACAGGTTGGGCAGTTGCTTCTCGGTGAAGAAAACACACATGAGAAAAACAATCCTAGATGTGGGATGAATGGGAAACATTCTAAATGTGCCTTTCTGAGAAGAAACAGTTTAATCATTAGCGTACTGATTGGGGTGGCTTTAGGATTTGTCATTGGCTTTGGTGTGAGAGTTGTGGAGCCTTCAGAAAATGCTATCATTTGGATTGGTAAGTTTTTTTTGTTTTCCAATATGGATTTCATAAACCAGTATGGCTCACCAATTAAGATGTACGTAATAAATAATGTAAGGTAAGATTGTATCAAGTGAGGTAAAGATAAAAGCAATTATAATTTCTTCAACAAAACAAAAGTCTTAGTTTTGCATTCAAAGTATTATTTCTTTTGAATCGACAATCTTCAGAAATTCCGATACTCCAATAAGAAGAACTTACGAACCATACGAAAATGTGTAGTTGACCGTCAACTAGCCGTCAACTAACCGTCAACTAGTCGTCAACTGTTAATGCGAAAACAGTTGACCACTCGGAGTTGAATGCTTTTCTGAAAAGCGATCAACTTATTTGCATAAAACGGCCAGTTGACCATTAATTGAATGCTAATACTTTGAAATTTCATGCAGAACAAGAGTTGACCACTAGTTGAACACTCCGACTTGATAGAAAATTTCTCCCGCGCTAAATTTATGTTGGGTTCTAAATTACATTATCATAGATCGGGTTTGTTATACCATAATTACAACAACCAAGATTTGAATCAGTACATGTGTGTTTTCTGTAGAAGATGGGAATTTTGATTTGAAACATTATTATTGTCTTCGTGATGATTCAGCGTGTGAAATATATCTCATGTACTATTGTAAGTATATAAAATTTAAAGATTTGTTTTTACTGAGCTTGTTATTTTTAAACAGATAATAGGAATGCAAAAAAATGTAGCCAGTATAGGTCCCTACTTTTGTGTACTTTTTTAAATATTGAAAGAATTCTGAAAACCTGTTATGCATTAAGTGTCTTGTTGTGTTTCTTGTCGTGTTGTAAATATAAACAATTGCTTTAGACTAATTCTATATATAACCTTTTCTGCCCAGAAAATGAAGAAGGACTGTAACAACTTATGAGAGTGTGCCAGCTCAATTCATTTATAATGCATTTAGATTTACAAGTACCTTTATGTCAATTTAGAAACTCTATTGGTTTGACTTTTCATATTTTCAAGAACACTGCTTGTCTAAGATTTCAAATCTCCCTCCATTTTTTTCAAATATTTAATGAAAGCAACCTGCGTGCACTGACTAATGGAGTATTCAACTAGCGGTCAACTGCAAAGGAAATAGTGGAGCATTCAACTAGCGGTCAACTGCAATGGAAATAGAGGAGTAATCAACTAGCGGTCAACTGCAAAGGAAATAGAGGAGTATTCAACTAGCGGTCAACTGCAAAGAAAATAGTGGAGTATTCAACTAGCGGTCAACTGTAAAGGAAATAGAGGAGTAATCAACTAGCGGTCAACTGCAAAGGAAATAGAGGAGTATTCAACTAGCGGTCAACTGCAAAGAAAATAGATAGTGGAGTATTCAACTAGCGGTCAACTGCAAAGAATATATAGGAGCATTCAACAGTGGTCCACTCTATGCAAATGAGTTGATCGCTCCCTCATTTGCATGGCAAAAATTCAACTAATGGTCAATTGACGGTCAGTTGACCGTCAACTAGTAGTCAACTGAAAACTCCGAGTGAATTCTAATAGTACTTTTTCATATGGGATATATATATATTATATATTTAACAAAACCAAACGTTCCTTTAATTATGTGTTCCCGTTTTGCACACATTCGATACTTCTAAAGGTAACAATATGTGTAAAATGTGTTTTGATGACGATTATAGTATGTATAGTCTGATTTCTGATTAAGATTTACCTAAGATTACCTGTATTTTACCTATGTATCATGAACAGGAAGAATAAATATTAATTCAATGCACATGTATATGAATATTTATTGGACATTTGAGAATGTGTGTGAAACAGGAAACAGGAACAAACCATAGGGTATAATATTTCATTTCTTTGTAGCTACCAACAGCATAGGTGATGTTGCCATTTTACCTTAGTATTATGCTGGCAAAATAATATAGTAATTTATAGAACACATTTGTCATACGAAAATCCGTTTTTTATTACATAGGTTTATCAGGAGAAATTTATATGAGGGTGTTGAAAATGATGCTTCTTCCTTTGGTCGTGTCGACTATCATAACAGGTTAGAAAGAAAACGGGAAATAAATTAGGAAACAAGAAGATAAAATGGTTTCAATTAAATACTCAGTTTTTGTTGATTACGACAAAAGCTGTGCGTAAATCATATAGCATCACATATTTTGCTACTTCCATGGACGCAGTCTTTTTCTTATGTATGTGTATTTTAAGGAGCTGCTTCTATGGACCCAAAATCAAACGGGCGGATAAGTGCCCTCTCTGTGGGTTACATCATCATTACCAACACAATAGGAGCCATCATTGCAATAATTGTCTTCTTAATGATCCAGCCAGGTATTGTTATGTTGTATCTTGTTTTTAGAGGCCAACTTTGGTTTTCTTTGTGAAATATTTCACGCATCATATTTTATATAACTGATTTCTTAACCGATTTTGCAATTGGGGTAGGTTGACATTGTTACAGTGTGTTTTTGACGTTATGATAAACTGAAGCTCTTAATGAGAGGATAATAAAATGCTATTTAAGAAAAAGTAAAAAACATACACTCTTGAAATTTTAAACATAGAAATTTGAGAATATCTCCATTATTTTCATCATGTTTTCAAATAAATCCATTGTGTCTGTCGTATTTTGTGGTACTCTATAAAATGGGGAAAGTTTTGGCATTTTGAGATGCCCCCTCAGCTGAAAAAGACGTTAGAGTTTATTTTTCGAACATATAATGTACAATAAAGTATTACTCATAATATATTATAGCGAGCGTCGCGAAGCGAGCTCAATAGACTAACGTGTATGAACAGAGGAAATTCGGATTGAAATCTGTACATACGTCAGCCAAATTTCTCTGTGCAACATTCCCAGAATTCCTGCACTACCCAATGTCCTTTGCGCGAATAAATCAAAAATAGTAAAAAAAAATTAAAGGAACATTGTTTCTTACCGAAATCTTAACGAAATGATTTTGCCTTACCTTATTCAAAAAAATACCCCCATGTCACAACACCAGCCTTCACCTTGCCCTTCGGAAATGATACAAATGACGTCACCGGAAACTTACGAATTTTGACGAAGTTATGTCGGTTGCTTCCGTGAAACTCGGAAAACATGTTGCGGTGCATAGCAGCATGGTGGCTAAAACATAGCAACAACTTACTTGAAAAGAACGATTTAATGCAATCTCTTTTCCTTTAAACTAGCGTTTGCGTCCTATGTCAACAGAACTTTTTATCTGACGTCATACTTTCGTCACTTCAACGGTTCAGGTATTTCCGATTTTGTCGGAAACTTCCGAGAAGTTTGGAATCTCGATCCCGATGCTTGGGAAATGATTTCTTTTTATTGTTTTGTTTTATTCTTTTTGCTTTCTTTTTCTTGAATGATAGACAGTACATGTGTAGGTTTATGATAGTAAATAAACTGCGCTCGCCCCATGCAACGGTCACACCGTAAAACATATTAGTTTGAACAAAAAGTCTATTGTAGTATTTGAATAATTTGCTTTATTGTACCTCTACTGTAATTACTCTATATAAAATTAATACCATAAAACTGTCTATTTCCCCGAGAAGAGACTACTGTACTCAACTGAAGACTACTCCCTGGAAAATCTGAGCTACTCCCTGGGACTACTCCCTTATGAATATTTATTAGTAATCTTAACCAATCAAAGTGTTCAGTAGGCGGAGCGTTGAAGGAATCTCGAGTCTGTGACGTCATGTTATTAGCAATGTAAATATGACGTCAAAACATTTCGACATGCGATGTCAAAATCATACCTGAATTCTAGCAAAAGGAAGACAACGAAAATTCTTCGAAATGTTAGTGAAAATACTTTTTAAGGTCAAGATCTAGTAAATAACTTGAGACTACTTTTTTGGTGCTAGATCCATTATGACGTCATAATCATTTTCAACTTTCTTTTTCCCGTACTTTACGGCTTTAGCAGAATTATGTACAAAATAGGTTATTTTTATGACATTCATTTTGAAATCATATGAAAAGTAAACCGGATACCTATATTAAATTTGATATTTATTTTAAGAGGAGGCCATGAACATACTAATTACCGTTTTCTGAGAGACTGTAGGCAATCTGGATACATTTCCTTTGTCGAATATGAGAAAAACTCCCATATTCGTGCCTGGTTTTCTTAATTTTTCATTGCAAATGACAGTTTAAAATACAGTTTTTCATCTTGTTTACCTACAAATTATGCCCCGAAACACCTTATTTGACCAAGCTAAAGTTGTAAAGCATAAATAAATGAATTTATTTCTCAAGTTTGATAAATCTGTAGGCACCTTTCATTTACTAGATCTTGACCTTAAAAATAATTAATATAAATTGTTTTAGGACATTACTTATCATACAATGTGTTACACCGCATGCATTTTAATTATGCCTCTACAGTGGTTTTTTATTTTAAATGTCGGAATATCTTGTAAAAAAAAATTACGCAGGTATGTTAAGGAAGCATATAAGTCGTTTTTCGGGAAATTTAGACCTTTTAAAGAAAATTAAGTTTGATAATTTACCAAAACCGCTTATAAACATAAACTATTATTATCTATTGCATAAAGATAAAAGAATGTCTAACGCAACGACGTGCACCACCACCACGGCATCACGTGACTTCTATTAATAGCGAAATTTTCCTTAGTAAAAAAGCTAACAGAACAACAATACCTTGGAGTTTAATAATTTCTTTGAGTAAAATATGTTGTTGAAAAACATCTATTTTGCCTTAAAAGTGCTGCTAGAATCCCACTGTTCCGTCAGTAAAATAATTATTCCACACATTCGCACGAAACCTTACCCGGTGTTTTGAATTTTTTTCATATGAACCGATATTTTTCGTAAAACCATGCTTAACTCGAGAATCTAGCAGCACTTTCCAAGTAATTTAGGAGCCAAACTTTCCATCTGTACAAATCTTATGTTCTGAAATATACAGCTTATTGTTGTTCTGTTGCATTATTTTTGTCACAAATGACAGAGGAAAGGCCGACCGGGATACGTATATAGCTGACTGTTTTCGAAGGAGAATATATCAATGAAAATAAATTAGGATACTTGTCTTATTAACTGAACTTCATATGACTTTTACAAAATATTCACGATATTTGCTTTTAATCTCCATTTTACGTATCCTTGTACATGCCATCTTCCCAAGTCAAGAGTTTCTGATCCGCTCAGCTCCACATAAACCCTTGACCGAATAGGCTAAGTTTGACGGGGTTTACTTTCACGCCATCTAGTGAGACATACACATTTTGAACTCTACTGACCTCTGCTATTGGCCAATCGGGGTAAACGAATTCAACAGAGAATTTTCGAGATAATATTGGAAGTTTGTAATAAATTCGATATAATTCAACTAAAAATCTCAGTCAAACCTTTAACTGGGCTATTTAATGATAATGACGTTATCCTTGGGACTAAATCTGGCTTGTTTTTCTGTTTACAATTTAGTTAAGTTTAAATAAAACAATGATTTTGATTGGTTCATGAAGACTTTCATGAGGCCAATCAGAGAACGCACTTCTAACCCCGTCAAACTTAGCCTATTCGGTCAAGGGTTTATGTGGAGCGGAGCGGATCAGAAACTCTTGACTTGGGAAGATGTGTACATGCCGTCCTATCCAAATTCTCTTTACACGACATGATACTTGATGTGCACATATGACGTCATCGATGGTAGATTTTAATCCAAATGACAGAATAAAGCATAACAAATTAAGAACATTTTATTTTTGTTAATGTTTACACGATATATTCACTTTCTAAAGTTAAATTACATTTCTAAATACTAATATTACGAAAACTTGTGTTTTAAAATTGACGTCATTTCGCCTACTATGACGTCATAATGAAGCACTGATTTAGCCAAGGTAGAATATTTTGTATGCTTCCTTATTCCACCTGCGTAATTAAATTGCCTATGATTGTTTCGGTATAATAAAACAGTTATGGAATGGGTACGAGGGAAATAGCAAATTTATGGTTCCCCTCGGCAGGAAACTATTTCCCTTGGCGGCTTCGCCGCCTCGGGAAATAGTTTCCTCCCTCGGGGAACCATAAATTTGCTATTAATTCCCTCGTACCCATTTCATAACTGTATATTAAAGTGTTAAAATTTGGCATCTTATATAATCCTATAGTAAAATGTACCTTTATTTTGAGACGACGGTCCCTTAAAAATACCTGGACGGTAGATTTCCCCCAAACTTTGCATGTACAGTGAAGTTAGTGTAAGTAGTATCTCGTATAAAAATGAAGAGTTTCGCTATTGTAGTTTTACAAAATAAAACCCCAGCCGGCCCCATGAGTCAGATTTCAGAACTTTTCACTCATATAGAGACGTCACCATATACAGGCGAAGGGCTTCAAATTTTGACCTTTACTTGGCACTCAGGGCCATTGGGCAGTGAGTGATCTTTATCTTGCCAGTGTCTACCGTGGCTCAGGACCTCAGTTTTTAAGGTCTCATCCGAAGGACCTGCATCTCTCGCTGCTGAGCACATGGCAAAGGAACGGTTGTTTTATTGACTTAGCTCAGTCGCGGTCGACATTCGAACTCACGACCTTCCGATCACGGAGCAAGCGCTCTACCGACTGAGCTACCGTGATTGGTCAGCCAGGTATTGTAATTATGAAATATTTCCTATGTACTTTCATACAAAATTATTCTTTCCTTTACGTGCAGGGGTATATTTCTAAGATCACTTAACCTAAGACAGAATAATGACATGTTTGGTTTGTTCCTAGGAAATCGACAAATCTCAATTAAAAGGATTAACATTCACAAAAATGACTTACTTGCAAATAAAAGCTGTCAAAAGTATGGATTGTCTTAAAAACATTTTGTTAGTCCATTATTTCCATACTGAAATAAAAACAGATTTATTCAATAATTTTACCAAGATAAGGGCAGATAACACCGGTATACAGGGTACACTTACTGTTCCATGGCACCTGATCCGATCTCTAAAACTTTCAGAGGTTTGTTCATTGCTCTGCATTGAATTTGTATCGTTTATATTGCATTTGACTATGTTTTTTGTTTGTTATCTTGTCGTATTGTTTTATTAAATGAATTCAATGTTTCTTTTTAAATTACACTTTCATCTGCCATCTATTAAAAATCATATAAGGAATTTTTATTAAGAATGTTACTGGGATTGTGGTAGATATTTTAAAAGAACTTAAAAAAAATCAAACAAAATTTTACTGTAAAATTAACAAATAATGGTTAATGCATTTTCTTTAACTTTTTGAAGGAAAAGATTTGAAGATCCCTAGTTCTGAGAGCAGCGATTCTGTACAGACAGACATTGAAACCAGCGACATGTTCGCCGACATGATCAGGTACAATATAAGACAAATTTTTATGAAGATGAGGACTTGAATTTTCGGTTGCCTTCAAGTTTTTATTATTGGGGGATATTTTATAAATATTTCATGTTTTGTAGGAACTTTTTTCCAGATAATTTAGTGACGGCTTGTTTTCAAAAGGTTAGTTTTAATTGACTAATAGTAACTAAAATCGGTGTTTTTCCTAACTTTAAGCTCTTGTGTAGAATAGCATGTTCAATTAAGTGTTTTTTTTTTAAACTCTGCCTTCATGAATAAATTTTTGAATTTTACTTACTTTGTCCATTTTAAAATGGCAGATGTAGTTTCTTTTCAATTTGTTGTAATTTTCTGTAACCACACGTATCTTCCATTATACCTGAAAATGACACTAAGCCTGTGATTCAAAAAAATATAGTAATGTAATAAAGAAAAATAAAGCTTTAAGTGATTCATTTTTCAGACTCAGACTAAATACTCGCATGTCCCACGAGTTGTTATGATGAACGGTACCAATAGTTCGGTTACAGTTGTACATAAATCCCTCTCATCAACATCAGGGGTTAACATTCTGGGTAAGCATACCGTACATGTAATGTTTCTTTGATGAAGAAAAGGCGATATACTGAAAATCTCATATTTTCGTGGGATCAATTTTTCGCAGTTTGAGTAAAAACTTGGTTCGTGGGGATTTCAGTTCGAAAATAAAGAAATGTTGAGTAGTTATGTATGTACATGGAATTTCTGAGTGTCCGCTTTTTATGCCTTGTTTACAAATTTATATTTTATGTAATTTTATAAGTAATCGCTGCTCATTATCTGCTCTTTCGTGTAATATGCCTAATGTTTAATGATTTACTAATTTTTAAAAATATTGTTTAAAGTGCTATTCTTTTCTAGAGGTTTAAATTATGTAAAAGAGACTTCTTATCAAAATTATTTTTTTCACAAATATTAAAAAGCATGTAAAAGTGAATGTGAATTGTGTGCATCAATTAAGTTTTTCTCCAAAGTTAAAGGTTTAAATTCACTATAGTATTAATAATATAAAGATGTAAAGATGCCATTAATGAATAAAGTAGTTTGCATTGGACCATGGGGTATGTGGCGATAGCAAACAGTTTTCGAGCTTAAAAGTCCATTTAACATTTCAAAATAGGAGCGGAGCAAACATGAATCTCAAACACATCAGAGGTGGGATCACGTGCCATTATATACCGGCGCATACTGAATTGTGGACGAACTTTCCTGTTATTTCCCGATAATGACAAGGAGCACACGGCATGTGTAACTAGTCGGCAGAGGATGATCACTTATCCATGATACCTGATCTCACCTGATAACACCTCTGTTGTTTTGAAGGTCCGTGTTTGCTTTGATCCAACGTATTGTTTTTACATGTAATGGACCTTTGAGTTTGAATTCTGTTCGTTATCTCCATATATTTCATTGCAATGCATATGATAGGTCAGATATTCAACGTTTTTAGCTCTACTGGTCAGAGACCAGAAGAGCTTATGGGATAATAAGGTGTTCGTCGCCCGTCCGTCTAGCTGTCTGTCTGTCCGTCTGTCTGTAAATAATTTTTCTAAACACTACTCCTCCTACAGTTTTGGTTTGATTTTGATATTATTTGGCACACAAGTATACTACACTAAGATACATAAAATAGTGCATCGATTTTTGATTTTGATGAACGGTGTTGCCATGGTTACTAAAAACAGAATTTCTGTGAAATTCCTTTAAAATGCTACTCCTTCTACAGTTTTGGTCTGATTTCAATTAAACCTGGCACACAAGTAGACTACACCAAGATACATAGAATAGTGCATCCATTTTTGATTTCGATGAACGGTGTTGCCATGGTTACAAAAAATATTATTTTCTGTGAAATCCCTTTAAAACGCTTCTCATTCTACAGTTTTGGTCTGATTTCAATATCAATTGGCACACAAATAGACTACACTAAGATACATAAAATAGCGCATCGATTTTTGATTTTGATGAACGGTGTTGCCATGGTTACTAAAAATACAATTGTCTGTGAAATTCTTTTAAAACGCTACGCCTTCTACAGTTTTGGTTTGATTTCAATATAACTTTGCACACAAGTAGACTACACTAAGATACATAAAATAGTGCATCGAATTATGATTTTGATGAACGGTGTTGCCATTGTTACTTAAAATAGAAATGTCTGTGAAATTCATTGAAAACGCTACTCTTTCTACAGTTTTGGTCTGATGGCAATGGGTTCTTTTCTCATCCTTTGTTTTAAGTACAAACCAGGAGAGCTACAGTCTCCACAGATACTTCTGGTTTTTTAAATTGCCTTATTTTATTCCTCCTAGGACTTATTATTGCTTGCTTGCTATTTGGTATCACTGCCAGTACGTTAGGAAAGAGGGCGAAACCTTTCATAGAATTGTTTGAAACCATATCCATTATAGTTATTAAACTATTAAAGTGGATCATTTGGTAAGTGTAATTAAAACTTTAGTTTTTTTATTTTTGAAAATTTCTTTATTGATATTCTAAATTTTTTGATCACTGAAGAATAATAAATTTGGAAATAGCAAAACGGATGAGCTTTTGGGGATATTTTTGACTTCTCTTCCACAAACTCTATATCATATTTTACAGGGAAACTTGTCTCATCCAAAAAAAACTTATTTTTTGCAGTGAAATGTTTTTGTCGGTCCCACATTACTAGCATGCAATACATGTACATTATCATACAGATATAAGAAATATGTGTGATTTTTTTATATAATGTAGGATGACCCCTGTTGGAGTTGCAAGTTTGATAGCTACAGCCATTTTGAAAGCACATGACATAGAAAACGTTTTCAGCAGTATGGGCATGTTTGTTCTAGCCCATGTGGTTGGGTTATTATTTCATCAGTTGGTCCTTATTCCAGTCATCTATTTCATAGCAACGAGAAAAAACCCTCTCTATTTCTTCAGTGCTAGCCTTCGGCCTTGGTTTACTGTATTTGGACCACCTAGCACGTAAGTCATTTACGAGCATTTTGAAATTTCTCTAAAGATATTAATTAATTTATTATCAAAGATTCAATTAATTTTAAAAGACAATGTTTTTATCGTCAAGTGATCAAAAGTCAAACTTGAGCCCCATTGTAGGATGATACAACACTCAATAACTTATGTGTTTGAATTTTTTGAAATAGTAAATGACTTTGTGACCATCTTTTTTTTTTAACAAAATATAAATTTCTGGAAATTTTAAAACTGGTATCTCATAATTTCTTTAAAATATTTTGTATCATTAGGCCTTTCGAGTTCTAATATTCATGTGAGCCAAATTATATCGTATGGGTACTCACAGGATGAAGAATATTGATAAAACATACTCTGAAAAAAATGCCAAAACAATAATGATTTATGAAGTTTATTATATATTTAAATTTGTATAAATATATACTTGTATTAAAATCTATCTTTTAAGGTTAGACGACACGTTCCACAAAGATATATATTTTTTCCCAAGAATTTGTATTATATAAGCAAGTTTTAACAAAAATTGGGAATGTATAAATATTTACATTGTGTTTCATATAATACTAAGAAATACAAAACATATATTTGAGGAACGTGTCGTCTTACCTTAATGAATAATGATTTGAATGAATTAATTTGTAATTCAATTACTTTTAAGGGCAATCGGAATACCTGAAATGCTACGAACACTGGATGTTAATCTACATGTTGACACCAGAATATCTAACTTCCTTGTTCCGGTTGGAGGTACTTTGGAGAGACTAGGGAGCTGTATATTCATTTGTTTATCTGCCCTCTTTATGGTACAATTAGAAGGAATCCCAATCGATGCATCTAAGATTCTATTAATCGGGTAAATGTTTAGAATATACAAGTCATTTCCATATAATACATGTACTTGGGAAGTTGCATTACGTTCAGGCATTTGTATGAGTCGATTTAACAGTTTATCGTGATTTAATCAGAATATTCATCTGTACTAGAGGAGGCATTAGACCATTTGTTATTGTTTCAGTCTCCTGTCAACTGTGGGCTCTTTCGCAGTTCCATCTGTCCCCAGTGCCAGTATTGTGTCTCTTCTGGTTGTTCTGTCTTCCATTGACATTGAAGTACACAATATAGGTCTTCTTATGGCCTTGGAGTGGTTCAAGTATGCAAAGAATTAGTCTCTTGAATAAATATGTCATCTTGAACACTCATATTCTTTATATTAGGTTTTGCTTTTTTATGGATTGCACAGTATATATATATATTTAAAGGTAATATGTCTTATTTTCTGATGAATTGGGTTCATGTTTGAATTTGCACTTATCATAACATATCCTGGTTATAGTATAAACAAATATATATTCCAGTGACCGTTTTCGAACTACTAGCAACACGTTGACCATCATTGTGGGGGCAGTTGTTATTGAAAGACTCTGTCGGTCTAGTCTGAGGTCGGCATCAAACAACAGTCTTGAAGAAGATCCCACGAAAGAATCAGAGATCAAAGTTATTGTTGATAATGGATTGAATACCTCAAAGATTTGATAACATGCTAATTGGTGTTAAATTATTGTGCTTCATTTTATATGCAGTTAACAATAGTTGTGTATAATAATCCCACAGATTTTATCATCAATTATAGGCAATTCGCATTTATCATGATTATATTTTCAATATGCTTTAATTTTAAAACTCAATCAGAATAAATATTTTAAATTACTTGTGCTGATTGAATTCCAGATTGCACAAAATGTATGCAATATGAATGTTAAAAGTATCTCCGTTTCCGTTTTTACGCATAGTTATAGATATCTTAAATAAACTACAGTGTCAAGAGCAATCAAGTTAATAATTGGTATAATGTAAGAAAGCAATGGGTACGTATACATGCATACAGTAATTTTTTGATTATCCTGTGTTAATATGCATGTACAGTTACCACTCATTTTGATTTTCATACTTACACGTACAGCTGTAATTAAGAAGAGCTTTAATTTAGGTGTTTATACACAGGTTTGAAGTAAATATTTTCTCAAATTTTCTGTATAATATGACGACTTATATATTGCAATATAGCATTTCACATAAAAATATAATAAAAATCCTGTTTCATGTCGAAGTTATTGAAACTTTAATTTCTTGGCGGGTTTGATTGACACATCCTTGCACTTTCATGAATTTTAATTTTATTTTCAATACTTGAGAAAAGTGGCAATTCTGTTGTGTATTAATGGAAAATTTGAAAACTTTAATCCAGAAAATATAAAGAAGAAATGTTTTAAAGCAAAGCCCTCTCACAATATATTGTCCGTCCGTGCTCAGTGGTGTGTACACACTTTACAGCTGAACACTTCTCATAAATAGGCACTGTCAGACGGGTACATGTACATAAACCGTTCGATTTCGGTACTATCAATTGCACACTCGAAACTCGTGGCCGACATGTAGTACTACTTTCGTGATCTTAGTTTTTTCGTTTATTCCTTGTTTTTATGTGCACTTTCTGTTTGTAAATAATGTATTGACCTGTATTTTTCAAGATACTTTTCTCCTGTTTTGGAAAAAATACGTAAAATTTGATAATTTCATCGCGACCGAGTAGCACGGCTGTGTAAGATGTACAGTGTATAAATAATGTACTAACAATTAGGATGGAAAACGTCAGTCAGTATTTGACTTTAAATGATACATTGTATTTTCTGATAAGGTAATTGATTCGAACATAGAACTTACGAAATGATGATTTTTAATGAAAATACTGATATTCTTAATTCAGCAACTTGTTTTTAAATAATTTAATTCAAAATTTTCTACCATATGCTTTGTTTTCTTTTATATTAAATATATATTTGATCATATCAGTTGCGTTTTATTGATAAACTCGTATGTTGAGAAAATGACATCTGAGTAGAAAAACTTAAAATGTACTGACAACGGACTTTTTGCTTATAAATTGCGATTTTAAAGCATGTTGCCTACAAACGACAGTCATTTGCCTAACACATGTAAAATAAAGTTTTTCTTCATATTTTAAAATAAAAGGACCATTTTAATAAATAAAATATAAGAAATATATCAATTTCGAGCTGTTGATCATAAATTCACACATGGGCATGTAATCGCCAACCAAAACTTTTCAAAATGTATTGTGGGTATCAAATGCATTAATCTATTAATGGAATATTGAATGTTGTATCTCTTCCCCAAACTTTAAATTTAATGTTGCAATTGTCAAAGAAGTCGAATTTTATGCTTTATTTATAAATTCTTGTATGTTTTGAATGACAACGGACGGATTTTATCATAACCATACCTGTATGTTCATGACAACGAACCATTTTCAGTGCTTAACTTTAAAGGTTTCTGACAACGGAACTTAACGCGTTCCTGGCCGTGGAAATGCAAAACTTCACACTTAACTGAATTACTGATAAAATTTAAAATTGTGCAAAGTTTAAGGATGTGTCCATCAAACCCGTCCAGAAATTCGAAGTTTCAAAAGCTTCGAGATGAAATATGATTTCTGTTATATTTTCGTGTGAATTGTTCTTGTAATATATATGTCGTCATATTATAATTTGAGAAACTATTTATTTCAAATCTGTGTGACGTCGCGCACGGTGTTGGTGTCAAAAGGTTAAAAAATACTATTGCGGCGGCATTTGCGCTATTTTCATAATTTTAAAACAATTCACTATATGAAAACTATATATCATTCGGTCGGTAATTGTATACTTAAAACATTTTAACAAAAATATTGATAAAAAAAATCCATTTGTCAAAGATATTAATTTGACTATTCCGTCAATTACGTGAAAAACGCATGTAGATCGGTAACAGGAGCGTCGCAAACGCAATTACAAAATGTTGATAACTTCCTTAAAACAAACAATACAAACATAAAATTTGGCAGAAAAATTCAAAATACGATGTAGATGATGTAAATTATTAAAATTGTAATATCATTCAATCCGTATGCTCTGAACGCGTCGCTCAAAATCCAAGACAGAAGTGTAGATAAGCGTTAATCGACGAAATATGGAAAACACATAAAAAGTCTTCCGTTACTTAAATTAATAATTACATGAGCTAAATTTATTTTGAAATTACATCTCAATAATCCTTTTTGTGTGTTAAGAACTATATTTTATAAAAGACTTATTTTGGGTTGATATGTATGTTGGATTTCTTAACCTGATTTATTGTGAGGATGTTGAATAAGATGGTGTGTCACAAAGTTTGGAGTTTCAATGTCACAAAGTTTTTAAGATTCGTAAAATGGTAAATTTTGTAATGCTGGGTGAAAAATTAATGTTGAAAATTATTTTAAATTCTACAAAATCCTGCCATGTTATTATGGAAAAGATCTCGAGACAGAAATTTAACTTGTGGTGTCTTAAATTTTAATAATAACTGCTGTTTCACATATATGTACTTCATGTAGCTATATGTCACAATTGAATTTGACGGCAAAAACGTCACATTTAAATGCTAACTCCAGCATATACTATAGGATTAAACGTTCTTTTTTCAGAATTTATCGATGTGTAAACTCTGCCTTTTTACTCACAAACTGAATAAAAGTGCGAAGCACTTTTATGTAAAGTTTGTGAGTAAAAAGGCAGAGTTTACACATCGATAAATTCTGAAAAAAAGAACGTTTAATTCTTATAATTCCAATTACGAATTTTTTAAATTATTAAAATTATTTCCCTTTGAGGCCGCCATACAATCCATTATTTTGTACGGCGTAGGAATACTTTATGTCGCAAAGAAACGTATACAAGATGAATATCGATAAAATCCAACTTAAATTGTCAAAACAATCAATAAATAAGCTTAAAAAAACTCATTGAATGTTGTTTAAGTCAACAAATATCGTAAATACGCGTATTCTCCAGAATAATTCGTCCTTGACCATGGCCATGTTGACATTTTTAAAACAACAACGTCATAACGAAAGATGCAGACCGACGACGTCCTCGATTTGCTCTGGTTCGGTCAAAGATTTAGGGAGAATATGGGATCTGTAGGATGTAAACTTATGAATTTGATGCTATAAAGGCAAGAGTCTGAGGTACGTTTCTTTTCTCTATCACAACGATACCAGCTGAGCTGATATGGAACGTCGAGAAAATGACAGCATGTTCAGGGATTTTTTAAAATTCACACTCGTGATCCGACAGCGACATAAACATAATATTCCCGTCTGTCAGTCCTGTTTATCTCCTTTTCATTCATTCATTCGATCATTCATTTTATCATTCATTCATTTTTATTTCAAGTTTCTTGTAATCATAATTTAGCTAAAACGGACTATTTAAAGTAGTTCTAATATGAAGAATTCATCGATGTGTAAACTTTTTCTTGAATTTGTTTTCGTCCAATCAAAACACAGGGAATCAATAAATAAAATTAAGATTGGAATTATCTTCATTTTAAGAATTCAGTTTTCTTATTTGGCACCAAACGACATTTAATACAAAATGTGCAAAATCAAAACTTTATTTAGATATGAAACTGAATTGATTCTATAAAGCAGTGCTTGTTTTACAGGCTTTTTACAAAGTCAACATAAATGTCACACATTGTCCAAAAGTAATAAATCTAACTATAATTGTATAAATGTGGTAAAATAAATCATATATATAGTCATTAAAAATATACAAATTGAAAATTAAAAGATTTTTATGAAATGTTCATCTTTTCAAAAAGTTATTAGTATATTCCAAAATAATTTTCAATGGAATGGTGACAAAATCATAACAAAATATAAATGTCAACATAAATGTCACACACGTTAAAATTTGGCGTTTTGACGTTTTTACCTTCAATGTGTAAAACGTCATCTAAAGTGTCAAAAGATTTCCCAAATAAACTAACTCTTATTGCCGATGATCCCGATATGGATACAAGAAAAATGTACCAATAATGATTAATTTTAAGAATAACTTTAGGTTTAGAAAGTTGTATTTATATATATAACAGTAAAACATGCGTAGTGTATACTGTAGTACACTGTATAAGTAAATATATTTGTACCATTCACAGTCCGAATTTAGACACGAGAAAAAAATCACACAAACCAAAATTTATGTTAGGATACGATTTCAAATTTGAAAAACCTGACATTAAAGTGTGTCTATTTAAATGATTTTAAAATGATATATTTTCCACCCGCAACATGCATGCAAAAGGACAGAGAAAGTTTAGACCTGAAACATTTGCATCAAAGTACGGCCACGTATAATGCATGTATATATTTCCCTTTTAGATTTTTCTGAAACTAAGAGCCCTTTTCTCGCAGATTGAAAGAGACACATGTTAATCATTTTTTATATAGACTATATGAGGAGAAACATTAGTAAAATACAGTTTATACTCTGTAAGACAGTCCATGATGTTACCCGATCAGAAGAGAATTTCATTTAATCCCGGGATCAATTAAAATTAACTCTTAAATATTAAATAAAGCCGAGTTTATAAAATCATGAAAACTATTTTACCTTTACTCGAGACCCATTTAACAAATATTGAAAGATTAACATAACAGAATAATT